TCGCAACGTTGTGCCAAACAAGACAAGTGCGTTGCTCTTGTTGTGGGTATAGTTCGCTGCGGTTAGCCGGCCCTAGGGTGAGAGGGGTAGGCAGCTAGGGTCCCGTTCTCACGGCTTGGGTGTTTTGGTGTGTTCAGACAACACTTTTTCCCCAGGCAGGCTAAGCCAACGCAGGCTCTCCCAACGCTCGTTATAAGCTTTGGGTTGCTTGAAGGAGTCCAGTTGACTTACTCTGACCCTCGTTTCCCAAATACGCACGTGTGAAAGGGGAAGGATGGTAGTGATGGGGGAGAGAGAGAGATGAAAGAAAAGCCATTTTGGAAAGCAAAAAGTTAAGCAAGCTGCCCAACAATTGACCTGTAAACCAGCATCAAGAATATCTGCCTATTGTTTGCAGAGAGGGTTGGCTTAGCTAATCTCTTCGATCCTGAGACCACCAGACACCCCCTGTTTATTTTCTTTACTTTGGGGTCTGTAAAGGGAGGGGAGAAGAGGGCAGGCTTTTTTTTCCTGGAAGGAAATCAATCCAGGGGGACGAAGAAGAAGAAAAAAAAGTAAGCTGAAAGATCAAAGCTGTGCGCCTACAGGAAACAAACGGTCAGCAACATTTTGCCCAGTATATTCCCAGAGTTCGGTTAATTTAGGGGTGGGATATAATTCCACGCAGGGTGGAGAGTTTGCAAAAGTGGCTTCGTGGAGCAGGGCAGGGCACTTGGGGTCAGCTAATCGTGGCTAATGAAAGTGTCAAAGGTTCCCTGGCTGGCAAAATAAAACTGCTTTGCTAGCCCAGATTCTTGGACTCTGATTTATGGAACGAACCTCTTCTGGGTGGATTCCTGTTGCGCCTTTAATGGTTGACAAACCAGGCTTGCCCAAGTTCACACAACACCCGGAAGCAAAAGCAAAGCCAGGCATCATATTTCTGGCTTAAGGAGAGGAGGAGAAACAAACAAACAAACCCAGATGAATGGAATAAATGAAATGAAAACATTTAGACTAATAGGACCATCCTGAGATTCGGAGATAAATTTTTTTCCTGCGCTTTGCTAACTACCTCCACCCAGACTTCCGGTCTTCCTGTTTTTGATAGGTACCAAATACCGCGGAATAGACAGGGGATTTGTTTCATAGGGTGGTCTATAACCACCCTGAAAAAGTCATTTACGACCAGCCCTCGCACTTACGACCGTCACTGCATTTCCCCACAGTCACGTGATCAAAATCCGGGCACTTGGGCAACCGGCACACATTTACGACGGTCGCAGCGTCCCGGGATCACGTGATCTCCCATTTGCCACCTTCCCAGCCTGCTTCCCACAAGCAGAATCAATAGGGGAAGCTGGATTCGTTTAACGACCGCACGATTCACTTAACAACTGCCGGGACCGGTTCCTTTGGAGAGAGTTTTTTCTGTGGGGTTTCACGTGCTGCCTGCATCCCGTGGATGGAGCTTCACTTGTTTGCATGGACCGGTTTCTGGACCGGTGTTGGCCCAGGGTCCAGGGGTTGGGGACCCTTATTGTACAAGCAAGCTTTCCACTAGTAAAGTGGATTTGGGGATCGACTTGACATGTTCCTCAGCACGTTTTCACCGCCTAGACTAGAGCCTCACTTCCTAAAATTCTGAGCGATGCAGATATTGCCAACTTCTGCCTTCTGTGTTTCTAAGCTCCAAAATCAGCAGATTTGCCTCAAAAGTCTTTTCTGAAGTCAGAAAGGGAAAAAAAGTTTGTTTCCCTTGACTTAATCTGTTAGAAACACCGGACAGTATCCCTCTCCGCCACAGTGTTCCTGTTTTATCATTTATGTATTTATTTTTCCCAGTTCTCTCATTCCTTTCCAATGTTGATCTTACGGTGTGTTAATACTCCCCGTGTTCCTATCGCCGTTACTTTATTGTCCTCGGTTTTAACTGCTTGTCCCCTGTCCAGACAGATCCTGCCTTAAGCAACCGTGGTTTTTTTTTTTAATGTAGTAACTCATAAACAAACCCCATAAAGATGGTTTGCTGCTTAGCAGGGAACACGAAGTACCATGATCTAAACCGGAAGATCAAAACTCTGAAAACAGCTAAATGATTTTAGCACCCAAGGCAAAACATTTTCCATGGGTTGTTGTTGGTTTTTTTTCCAGCAATAACACGCAAAGACTAAAGAGGAATGTTTTGAGTCTAAGAAATGGCCACTCATTTCGTGAAATCATAAGGATAGAAGGGATCTTGGAGGTCCCTGCTTGGCCAGTTAACATCCTGGATACAAAACACGCCACGCCAAGTCCCGTCAAAGTCAGACAGGTGCAGGGTGCTTGGCGGTGGCTCAACAGGTGAGGCTTTGCGGCTACAGTCTCAGCTGGCAGGGGATGCCCCAGCCGAAGCCCCGGAGGCGTTGCTAATTGCAACTTTTGGGAAAGTCGTCTATATTTAGAGCAAGACTTCCTTTGAAAGCCCAACTGGTCGGGTAACTTTAGGATTGCAACTGTCCTGTCACCTAAGAGGGAACTGAGGGTTAGTAAAAGAAGAACTTTCCTGGGTCATCAGCACAATCAGCTCAGTTTTGGAGAAGCCTTTGCTGAGAAGGAAAAGAAATGAGGTATAGGAAGAAAGCACTAGAAGGAAGGCAAAGGAAATGGAGGAGGAAAAAGAAAAAAGGGACAGGGAAAGGGGAAGGAAAGGAAAGGAAAGGGAAGGAGACAGAGAGAGAGAGAGAGAGAGAGAGAGAGAGAAGAGGAAGGTGGGAGGGAGAAAAAGAGAGAAAGAAAGAGATAGAGGAAGAGGGAAGAAAGAGAAGGGGAAGAGGGAAGAAAAGAGAAAACAAAAAGAAAAGAGAAAAAGAAAAGAGTCAGTACATTTTCTCTTTAAGCCTGGTCACTTTTGGTCAATCCAGGCCAGACTGTCCTCGCTTAGATTTCATTTACATTTCTCATTTGATTCAAATTCTGCTCTGGGGTACATGCTGAACTTTCCAGCTGTGTGGTGGGTCAATATCTCCTTTGCTCCCAGGCAAAACAATCAAAACTTTCAGAGACCCATCCCGGCGTTTCAGCAGCCGCAGAAATACAAGATCTGGACTGGCATCCTTTAAAATTGCTGCTCAGGCCAACCCAGCACCAAGGAGTCACATGCTGTGCAACTCAGTCCATAAAACACAGAATAACAGCATTGGAAGGGACCTTGGAGGTCTTCTAGTCCAACCCCCTGCTCAAGCAGGTCACCCTATATCATTTGAGACAAATGGCTGTCCAGTCTCTTCTTAAAAACCTCCAGTGATGGAGCACCCACAACTTCTGGAGGCAAGCAGTTCCACTGGTTAATTACAAAATATAGAATAACAGAGTCGGAAGGGACCTCAGAGGCCTTCTAGTCCAACCCCCTGCTCAGGCAGGAGACCCTATATCATTCCAGACAAATGGCTGTCCAGCCTCTTCTTCAAAACCTCCAGGGATGGAGCACCCACAACTTCTGGAGGCAAGATCATCACGTCCACTAAGTGTCCAGGTTGACAACAGCCTAAATGTGGACAACGAAACTCACAATTCACAGGTAGTCCTCAAGTTACAACCACACAACCTTTAAAAACCGCTCTCGATCTCCTGCCCTTATGAATCAGTAAATCCAGATATTACAGGGTCGTCCTCGGCTTCTGCTCGTTTAGCGACCGTTTGAAATTGCGACGGCACGGAGCAAAGCGGCTTTCGCCCAGTCCTCGCATTTACAACCGTTCCAGCGCTCTTGATCAACTGACTCATACTTATGACGGTCGCAGCGTCCCCAGGGGTCACGTGAACCCCTTTGGCAACCCTCCGACCAGCCAAGTCCATGGGGGAAGCCAGGATTCACTTAACAACCGTGTTACTCACTTAACGGCTGCAGGGATTCGCTTAACAACGGTGGCAAAAAAGGACGTAAAATGGAGCAGAACTCACTTCACTGTCTCACTTGGCAACAGAGGTTCTGCTCCAGTCGTGGTCATAACATCACCATCACCATCATCATCATCATCATCATCATCATCATCATCATCATCATCAAGTTGGAAGGGAACCTTGGAGGTCATCTAGTCCAACCCCCTGCTCAGGCAGGAAACCCTTGAAGATCATCTGCATACTTTCCTTGCAATACCTGGATCTTTTTCACATTCCTATTCCCTGGGCTAAAACTGCATTTTTCCAGTACATCCTGCACAGGGGTTGGGGTTGGGTGGGGGGTTGAAGCCCCCCTCCTCCCCAGAGCCTAAGTGAACCTTGGCAAGCCCAGATGCCAAGGCCTCCCCTGGCCGTGTCCCTGCTTTGAACCCCAGAAATCCCAATTTGGGTTCCTCCGGGAAGGGCTTGGGAAAAAAAGTCCAGGAGTGGCAAAAAAAAATTAAAATTCCCGAGAGTGATCTGCCTCAGGATTTCCCGTGTCACAATCTGGATTATTATTATTTTTTTTCCAGGGGAGTTTAATCCCTGGGTGTTTGTTTGTGTGGAAGGCAATTAAGAAGCAGACTGAAATCCCTGGAACCAGACTGGGAGTATCCCCAAATGCAGTTAGCTCCCTTTGGTGGAGCCTTCCTGGAGTTACCTGTCAATTTGACCAATGGAATAAAAGAAAGACCAGCCCAAACCCTAGCCTTTGCCAACGCCTGGGCGCCTACGAAGAGAGACCTCTTGCGCCCAGGACCCCATCCTAGCCTCTCCCTTGGGGCTTCCTGGCGATTTCGGGGCCTCGGGGCGAGGCGAGGCGCCTGCTTGGCAGAGTCTGGGGTTGTGTGAATGGTGGCAAAACCCCTGCCAGGAAAAAAAACACACACAACCCTTTAGCCAAGCGAGTTGAAATGCTGGTCAGCTGCAGAAGCACGGTAGGAACAAAGGACAACTGCAAAAACTTCTCTGGCAGGCAGGAGTGTGAAGGATCTGGGGGAGGGTGGGAGGGGGGAGGACAGCCCCCTTGCCCCAAACCTGGTCCCAGGCTTCCCCTTGCCCAAATCCTCCCCACCGCCGCCCTGTGGCTGGCTACTCACGTCGTCGTCTTGCACGCTCAAGGGGATATCCAACATGCACATCTGGAACGGCTGCACCAGCGCCTTCTGCATGCTGAACAGAGGCTTGCTCTCCATCCTCAGGCTGCCCGGCCCACGCCGAGCTCTGCTCCCACCTGGAGCCCAGGCCGATGGCTGCTGGCTCCTGGCCGGTGGAGCCCCCTGCCTGGTCTCGGCGCCCCTGGAACAGGTGGCCCACAAACAAGCCCGGCAGGAGCAGCTCTCCAGGGTGATCCCACAGGCAGCATCAGTGAGCCATTTCCGTCTGCGTGGCCAGGCTGTGGGTCACCAGGGATCCCGTCCCCGCCTCTGGCTGGCAGGCAGGCAAGGCAAGGCAAGGCTGTCGCCTCCTTTGGGGCTCGACCTGCTTTCCCAACGGGGGCTGGGCTTCCCCCGATCCCCGCTGCCCCCAAAGGCTGGGCTCTGGGGGTGAGCCTCTCTGCATCGTCTGTCCCCCCCCAAACACAACAGGTCCTTCCTTTCGGTGGGCTGGAGCCGGCTACTGCAAGGGTGGGAGTCTGCAGTCATCCATGGCAGAGAAAGCACAAAAAGGGTCCAGGAGGAGGAGGAGGAGGAGGAGGAGGAGGAGGAGGAGGTTGACGCAGCCACGTTCTCCTTCTCTGTCCCCCCCACCCACCCTCCCTCCAGCTCATTCCCCTCCTTTGCTGGCAAGGAGAACGCCCTCCCTCGCCATCAAGGGTACGGCAGGGGTGGGAAACCTGAATTCATATTCCTTAGCTCTGCATTTCTGCAGGAAGATCTTACATGCTGGGCATCCCCCTCTGCCAAACAGAGAGAGAGAAAGGAAGAGAGAGAGGGTGGGGGGGGGGAGAGAGAAAGGAAGAGAGAGAGAGAAGAGAAGAGAGAGAGAGAGAGAAAGGAAGAGAGGGAGAGAAAAACAGAGAGAGGGGGAGACAGAGAGAGAGAGAGAAAGGGAGAGAGAGAGAAAGACAGAGAAGGGAGAGAAAGGAAGAGAGAGAGAGAAAAGAAGAGAGAGAGAGAGAGAAAGGAAGAGAGAGAGAAAAACAGAGAGAGGGGGAGACAGAGAGAGAGAGAGAAAGGGAGAGAGAGAGAAAGACAGAGAGAAGGGGAGAGAAAGGAAGAGAGAGAGAGAGAAAGAAAGAAAGAAAAATAAAGAGAGAAAGAGAAAAACAGAGGGGGAGAAAGGGAGAGAGGGAAAGGGGGAGAGAGGGAAAGGGAAAGGGAGGGAGAGAGAAAGAGACAGAGAGAGGGGGAGAGAGAAAAGAAGAGAGAGAAGAAGAGAGACAGAGAAAGAGAGAGAAAAAGTAAGAAAGAAAAACAGAGACGGGGAGACAGAAAGGAAGAGAGAGTGAAAGGGAAAGAGAGAGCGAGAGAGAAAGGGAGAGAAAGAGAGAGAAAGGGAGAGAAAAAGAGAGATAGTTCTCTCTAGGGTGGGGGGGCATTGTGGCCCGCCCCTGGCGAGACCACCTCTTCACTGGTGGTTTTTTTAAGGAGGGCAGCTCCTTCTCAAGTCTCTTGTGAGGGAGATGGATGATTTCAAAATGGGATCAAAATAATAAAATAATAAAATTATAAATTATGGTTATTTCAGCAAGCAGGACTGGCCTAAGGGGAAATTTTTTAGTGGGGTTCTTAAACATTTTTAATTAATTATAGCCAATTTAAATATTTCTTTTTAACCAAGTTTTAAGGGGTGTCTTGGGGTGTATTTGTATTTTATTGGTTGTTAGCCGCCTTGAGTCCGTAAGGAGAAGGGCGGGGTAAAAGTTTAATTAATAAATAAATAAATAAACAGACAGATGTCTGGCCCACAACACGCCTGACACCACTATTGTGGAAAAGGAAAAAAATTTCCGACCAAGCAACTATACCGTCATGGTCTTCTACGTGCTTACCTCCTCTTTGTCGATCTTTTTTTATTGGGTTTTATACCGTTAAACGTTTAACTTCAACTCGCTAACCCCTCCTTATAAACACGGTTATCATTATCCTCTCTAGGTACTTGTAAAACTTGAATAGTCTGGACTTATAGGACTGAAACGTTTTTTTAACAAAAAAAACCCCACCCCACCTTACTTGGAACTGCCATATATATTCAGATGTTACCTTAACGGCTCTTAAGTTTTCAGTTAGGACTTGAACTGTTAAGTTTTAACCAGCCCCAGACTGTGAATCGAATTGAAGCTTACATCTTAAATAATAACAATAACATAATAATAATTTTTTAAAAAAATAAGAGAGGGGGATCAGAACGGAGAAGGGGACATCAAAGCAAGCTTTGGCCGAGCAAATGTAGAATTAGCACTTGGGGAAAAAAAAGTGCTAATTGGTAACGGGAGCAAAAAGAAGGACAGTCAAAGACCTGGGTGCTGAGTTTTCAGATGCATCAATCAATCAATCCACTGGCTTTGAGTTGATTAATCTAGCAGTGGAGTCTCACCACCCGCCTTGGCAGGCACACATTCGCACGAGTTGGCAGAATAACTCCAAATGCAGTGTAAACAGAGCAGATTTGCCTACTCTGCCCTAACACAACGCCACACAACGTGTCTCCAAACACACCCACTTGCAAAATGGAAGGTGCAATTTTATTTGCCCATCATTTGCGCCGCGCTGTCTCTCCTCCCAACGCCGTTTTCTGGCTTTCTGGGCCAAGAACAACAAAACTAGCATTGTTTGGAATCCACGGGCAGTTTCCGATCCACTTTAACCTAGTTTAAATCCAGCAACAGGACAGGGGGGGGGGGACACGAGAAGGAAGTTTTCCCCACCCCAAACCAACAGGGAACAGAGTTTGCAGGATGTTGCCACTCTAAACATCCGTTAATTCCAAAGGAAATTGAGACATTCAGCACACAAGAATAATAACCTGGGATGGCCAAGGAGCCACATTTGGGACCATCAGACCCTGCGCGTGCAATTAACTGCAAAAAAAGATGGAAGTCAAGAGGGGAGAAATTATCTCTCTCTTGTTTTTAAGACTGTGAGAAAAAGAAGATTGGCGAGGAAACCCTCGCTGGAACTGCACCACAAACTCTTCAATTACTCAGAAAAGCTCGCTTGTGGGGCGTTATCTGGATTTTTATACTTGTTTGTTTGTTCTGTTTCCTTCTCTCTCCAATCTCTCACTGGGGAGATTTCCAGAGAGAAGTCATTCAAAAACCCGAACGGTGCCAAAGAGCCCGGCTGAGTTTGTCAAGTTGGCGCTCGGCTCACCGAAAAATGAGAAGTAAAAAAATGATGATCGAAACGGCCTCTCAAAGAGATAACTGCATTGGGAAAGAGAAAAAAAAAGCAATTGTACAGCTATTTCTGGTTTCTATTTCTCAGCAGTTTTTAAAATTGGTTCTGGGAAGGAGTGGGGGGGAAACCAGGAATGGTGGTGGCGTTTAATAAAATCCTGGAAATGGTTAGAATAGAATAGAGCTGGAAGGGACCTTGGAGGTCTTCTAGTCCAGCCCCCTGCTCAAGCAGGAGAACCTATACCATCTGAGACAAATGGCTGTCCATCAAGCTGAATCAAGCTGCCTTTTCCAATTGACTGATGGGGAGCTTGTCCATGCCAATGGTGCTCAGTTGATGCTCCAGATGTTTTGGGATTGCACCCAAAGGCGCCTAACACTATTGGCGCTGCCTCGGCTTTCTTTTGCCACAGTCATTCTACTTCTATTTGCAGTTCTTTTTATTTTGTGATTTTTTTTCCCCCTAGTTCTTTTTTCTTCTGTTCCGCTCTCTCCACTATCCAGATTTTTTATTTTTTTTTGGTCTTTCTTATCCACAGTCGTTAAATCTTTGGTGTTATGTGTCTATCTGAATTCTAAAGTCCCCAAGCACTTGAGCGTCTTCATTTCGTTCTTCTTCGCTTATCTATATTGCAAAGGCTCTAATTTGCATTGTGCATTATTTATACGGTTCGGCGCCCGGCCAGCCAAATGTTTAGACTGAATTTGGCATTTTTGCCCGCCGATCGCCTTCTTCCCAAGGATCTGGGATAAGCAGATGTGGACGTTGGATGGGGTTGCCGATGTTAATGCAGGATGTAAGCTGTTCCAAGTGAAGCTGCCTTTTGCAATTGACTGACGTATTCTTAGGCTTCATTGCCCAGTCAGTCGGAGGTTTGGATTGGATTTGACCTTTTTATCCACCTGTCGAGTTTCGTTATTGTTATTTTGTTTTATTTTACGACAAGGGCTGCAATTTGCCAGATAAAGCAAACAGATTTGTGGGTGTTCAAAATAGGGGGAACATTATTTACCCCAACTGCCTAATTGCAAAAAAAGCCGGAAAGATAATTTGCCAGTCCATCAAAGAGATCTGCAGCTTTCGGCATTTTTCATGACCGTCCCCTGAATATTACCGAACTAAACAGGACGCTGTCAGATTAGGTTGTAAAATGGGGGAGGGGGGGAAACAATTCAGCGACGGGTTTTCCCGTCCTTCTCCATCTTTCGTGCTGGGTACCACACAGGGTTGCCATGGAGACAGCCCCATGCAACGTTGCCATGCTTACAAAGCGTACGGTGGGGCCGGGGACGACCCTCGCGCGCGTGCAAGGGGGGAAAATTGCTCGGAAGTAGTACGCAACGCAAACCCGGAGCGTTTGTGTCCTTTAACGACATCAAATCAGCCTCCGAAATTTGGTTTATACCTCTAAGCCATCATATCTTCTGGCCTGTGGGGGGGGGGTGTCTCTGTTCAACATGTCAGAGACTGGGAAAACCCAAAATCTACGCAGGATTATTCGGAACGGCTCAAAATTCAAAATGACGGGCGAGACGTCAAGCGTTTCCCCAGGCTTTCAGAAGCCTGAAAAAAACTAGAATTGGATCCTTCACACATTCAGCTCATTAACCTGGTTACCGATCTACGTTGTTTCTCTAGGTTTACAGAAGGCATTGACCTGGAATCTAACAACAGCTTTGTGCCTGACTCTCACCAAGGGGAACATTAATCAAGCTTGGCACGGCGTGAATTGAGCCTTCAATTGACCTGGTTAACACGCCATGAAAGCAAGCACTCTCTCTCTCTCTCACTCTCTCTCTCTCTCTCTCTCTCTCTCTCTCTCTCTCTCT